TTTAAGCAATCTTGCCTAGGTGATGAAACCTCCATAAAAACCCCTGAACTACAGGGTTTGGACAGCTTTCAAGTTGTGGAACACATCAAGGTGCTGACAGGGTGGTGTTAAAAGAAACCACAGGCCTAACATCATGACATGTTAGGCCAAATCAGCAAACCTAACTTAATGCCTAACCTAACTGCAGTTTCAACTCCCCAGGAGTGTAACCTTTAACCAGTCAACATGGAACTTCCTGGTCAATGCTAGGACATTTACTGATAGATACCTTCCACTCCCCTTAGGAGGACAACCCTGCCTAAACAATGCATTCCTCGCTAATAAATTCCTTTCTTTCCTTCTTTCCTTCCTTCTTCTTTCTTTAAAGATTTTAACTAATCGCTACACCCAACGTGGGCCTCCAACTCACAACCTCAAGATCAAGAGCCACATGACTGAGCCAGCCAGGTGCCCCTATTTGTTGTTGTTGTTGTTAAGCCTTCTCTCTACCTTTAAAAACTTCTTTGGTTTAGCTCAGCAGAGCATCTCTCTCCTCACTAGATGGGATGCTGCCAATTCATGAATCAATGAATAAAACCAATTAGATCTTCATATTTACACAGCGGCATTCTGGTGTTATTTAACACCAGAAAGGGCATGGAAGCTCCATGCATACTCCCCCTCTCCTCCCCTATACCTTGCCCTACATTTCTCTTCCATTTGGCTGTTCTGAGTTGCATCCTTCATTTAAAAAAATCAGTAAATGTAAGTAAAGTGTTTTCATGAGCTCAGAGGTAGAGAGAAAATCTTAAGCAGGCTCCACACCCAGCACAGAGCCTGACGCGGGGCTCGATCTCACAACCCTGAGATGGTGACTTAAGACAAAAATCAAGAGTTGGATGCTTAACCAACTGAGCCACCCAGGCACCCCTATAAAGTTCTTTTTGATTAAATTCTATTTTAAAGTCAAACTAGTGTCATCAAACTTTTTGGTTCAACATGTTTTTTAGAATTTATATATTGCAAATTTATATATACTGCAAAATCTCTACAGTCTGGATAAATACCTTGTCATGGATTTGTTCTGGCAGCCTATCTTATTACTGGAACAAATAAGAACAGGAACTTTTTTTTTTTTTTTTAAATGTAATCTCTATGCCCAATGGGGGCTTGAACCCATGACCATGACCCCAAGATCAAGAGTTGTGTGCTCTACCAACTTAGCCACCCAGGCACCCTGGGAACAGGAGCCTTTTATGACATCCAACAGTCTACAGAATCAAGTTCCAACTTCTCTGCGGGGCAGTCAAAGTCCTTTACTGTTTGGCACACTTTTCAGCCTTACCTTCTGCCACTTTTCCCATAAATACTACTCTCAAACAATCAGACCCAGTCATCACTATCCAGTGACTCTGGACGCTTCCCAACCACTAGGCCTTTGCATAAGGTAGTTTCTCTGTTAATAAGGTAGTTTCTCTGTTAAATGCATCCTCTACATCCTCTTCATGAATTCTCCTACTCATCCTTCTTTCAAGCTCTCCCACTCCTTCAGAGATGGTCTCTCCTCAGGGATCCCTTAGCTCTAGTAAAAAGTTATAACAGGGGTGCCTGTGTGGTGCAGTCAGTTGGGCACCCAACTCTTGATTTCGGCTCAGGTTGTGATCTCAGGGTCGTGGGATCGAGCCCTATGCCAAGCCCCACATTGGGCTCCACGCTCAGTGCAAAGTCTGTTTAAGATTCTCTATCCCTCTCCCTCTGCCCTTCTCCACTGCACACTCTCTCTCTCTCCCTCTCTAAAATAAATACATAAATCTTTTTAAAAAGTTATCATAGTGCATCATAAATATTTATTTGTATTACTCCTCAGACTCCTCTGCCCTCGAGGGCAGAGGCTATTACTATCACTATCTAATTTCTAATGCATAGCAGGAAACTAATTAGAAGGCAGGAAGAATGAACAGTTCTGAAATGACCACCATGAGCAAAATGAGTCAGATGGGCATATTCTTTTATTATTTTTAATTTAATTTTATTTATTTATTTGAGAGAGAGAGAATGCAAGATAGAGAGCACGAGAGGGAAGAGGGTCAGAGGGAGAAGCAGACTCCCTGCCGAGCAGGGAGCCCGATGCGGGACTCGATCCCGGGACTCCAGGATCATGACCTGAGCCGAAGGCAGTCGCTTAACCAACTGAGCCACCCAGGCGCCCTGGGCATATTCTTTTAGTAAACAGAGATCCAAGTACCTACTGAGTGCTCGCTAGAGGGTGCGAACGGTAAAGAAGATAGATGCAGTCCCCACTCTCTGAAGAGTCTGCAGTCTCGTAAAAGAGACAGATTTATAATCAAAATAATTATAAATATATAATAAAAGCTCTGAAATAAACAACCAGTACAATAAGAACTATAAAAGAACAGTGCTGTGACACAGAAAATTAACAAAAGAACTAGAACCAGAAACTCCTTCTTCAGAGATGGTGGTAAGCAAAGTACTGTTTAAGCTCACAATTCTGTTCCGATCTAAAGGATAAAGAGGAATTAACCATGCATGGCGCAGCAAAGGGTAGGGGTAGACATTTCAGATTAAGGGACTAAAACATGCAATGGCTCTGGAGTGAGAAAGAGTTTTGCTCATTCAAAGGAATTCAAAGGCCAGGGTGGCAGAGCACAGGAGCAAGGGGAGGCAAGGCAGAGGTGAGCTCGACAAGGCCAGATCAGGCAGCACACTTTCTGCCACAATGGAAATGTGAATTGTAATCTAAGTGCAAAGGCAAATACAGTAATAGGATGATTCTAAGTGTGACATGATTCAATTTATTTTCATAAGGTTTTTGTTTTTCCTGCTGTTATGTGAAAAAGAGATTGGAAGACAGCCACAAGAATGCAAAGATCATAGTTGCTGGGATTGACTTCATTTCAGGCCAAATGATCCAATTCTTCTCACCATTTGGTCCAGTGCACATCATCTTCTAAGAGACTGCTGCCCTTCAGTTTATTGTGCTTCTCATCCCTGTTTTCGTAAGTCAACATCCAACATATACTTTCTTGAAATTCCATCAATTCTGGTATAGGCATTATTAATATGCTCATTTTATAAGGAATAAACTGAGGTTTAGAGAGTTGACTAAGTTGCCTATGTCAACCATCTAGCAAAAACTGGTTCCCTTCCAGTTCTGAATGGACCTTCAGCATTCGAGGGAAACGTGAGAACTACTACCATATGTAAAAACAGCCACTACGTTCCATCACAGGATTAGGGGACAAGGTTAGGGAAAAACTGAATAAACACTGATGAATACAAGGTCATTCAAGGGGATTAAGATAGAAAAAAATAAATGATTATTAAGTACACTTGTGAAAAAAATATATCAACTTCAGCTATGTTTGGCAACTAATACTTTTTTGTCATTATAGTCTATGAAAGAGTCAATATGCCCTTTCTCATTCAGTGGTAATAAATACACGGACATAAAAAAGGAATCTAGGGGCGCCTAGGTGGCTCAGTCCGTTAAGCATCTGCCTTTGGCTGAGGTCACAATCCTGGAGTCCCGGGATCGAGCCCCATGTCGGGCTCCCTGCTCAGTGGGGAGTCTGCTTCTGCTTCTCCCTCTCCCTCTCCCCCTCCCCCTGCTCCATTCTCTCTCCCTCAAATAAAGAAAATCTTTAAAAAAAAAGGGGGGAATCTAAAGCCTAATAAACTACTCTGGTTATCTCAATGATTTTTAGGATTAAGTCTGCTCATCAGTACCACCAAATTAAGCATAAAGTATCAATCTAACAATTATAAGATTCTAGGTAAGCAGAAATAAAGTAACTATGAATTTACAGCTAGAAGAGCCTAATCCTGAAATGTATTGTATTATTTCAGTCCATGTGGGTTAAAAACCAGAAACTATACACAGATTCCCAGGCAACAGCAATCATCCTTATACCTGGATTCCATCATCCCTTTACCAATCAAAGGAATGATAATACAGGAATGATAACATCAGGTCTTGGATAGGAGTTCCTAACCCTACTTGATTATCAACAAAATAAATCTGATTTTGAATGGCAAAGACGTGATGTTAGATCATTTCTGCCAGTGTCTCAGCAGCAGCTCCCTAAATACAGGGTCCCTCCACTTGAGCCACCAGTCCTACTGATGACCACTTCAGTAAAAACAGAGTCTACAGGAGCCCAGGGGGGCCCTGAAAAATATTAGAGAAAACAGATATATGTCCATGTTTCCAGGACAAGCCAGGGAAAATTTTTAAATATAGCTGATCCTCTTGTAAAGCATCTCTCTATTGTGGAATGATGCATCAGATCCCAAAACCTAATTATAATCTGCACACTTCCTACCTGTAATAAACTTTACTACCTGAAACGGACGCACTATCTAGGACCAGCATACAATTCATACTATATAAGTAAATAAATAGACATTCTGGGCTGTAAATGGAGATTTTGTGAGATTGGAGATTGACTTAATCTTTTTGGGCCTGATCAATTCTAGGTGATAAAGAATGGGTGCTAAAACGGAGTTTCTGGAAGAATAAGGTTGATGACTAATCTTGGACTGTGTTTGGTCAATGTTTAGTCAGCTAGCCCACCTTTATGACATTTCTATCTCTGCTCTCTGTAATTTCAATAACTGTAACATCAATGTGCTAGGGATGATGTAAAAACTCGCTAAGTAGGGGCACCTGGCTGGCTCAGTCGGAAGAGCATGCAACTCTTAATCTCAGGGTTGTGAGTTCAAGACCCACATGGGGTGTAGAGATTGCTTAAATTAAAAAAAAACTTAAAAAAAAAAAAACTGGCTAAGAAAAGAACGTGCGCACACTGGAAACTCAGAATGAACTGTTAAAAGGAATGAATGAACAATAAGCTTAAAAGGACTCATCATTTTCTTTAAATCAAGTTGCTGATTTGTAGAGGAGGAAGTGCTAAGAGCCACAGAAACAGCAGAGTTCTTCGAAGGGTGTGTGTGTGTGCACGTGTGCACACATACGTGCGCATAAATACACATCTACATACCTGCACTCAAGGCCACACCAGTACCACGGTGGCAAATGGACATCGCCATGGGAAGAGACCAACTGCGAAGAAATACACAAAGGCAATTAAAAAAAGGAAAATACGACACCATAAGAGAGACTCCATTTTGGCAAAGAGAATATAAACCACTTTGGAAATAGGCACTATTTACACATAAAAACAAAACAGCTTTTGCATTCTTGTGTTTCCACTTTCTAGTTTGAATATACGAAAACTGATTTATTTCAGGAGAAACATCCCACCTTTTACCAGAAGGAAACCAATCACAACTCAAACTCCTCTTTTCATAAGAAGAAACAACGTGAGTGGGTCGAAGACACCAATTAAAGTTGCATCTACCTAGAAAATAATCACTAGAATACAACCACCTGGGTCCTTCCTTGTGCCAGTCAAAAGACTGAAGTAAAAGGAAAACAAAGTGAGTTTTGTTGATCTAGTTTTATAGAATATACAGTCGCCCTTGAACTCTTTCTTATTTTTTATTATGTGCCCATAAATATTCACATTGAGCATACCATTTATTCCCTAATAAACTACCTATCCCAAATTTTTAAATCCAATTTTCCTGGATTTAGTACATGTTTAATCCACGGTCATTTCGAAATACTTTGTCATCAAACCCCTTTCTAAATCATGTTCTGAATCATTAATTTGCCAGAGCATTTCTGTAGAAGGACAACTAACACTGCTATATTCTAGACCTATCTTTTTTCTTTTTTAAGATTTTTATTTATTTATTTGACAGAGACAGCAAGAGAGGGAACACAAGCAGGGGGAGTGGGAGAGGGAGAAGCAGGCTTCCCGCCGAGCAGGGAGCCCGATGCGGGGCTCCATCCCAGGACCCTGGGATCAAGATCTGAGCCACCCAGGCGCCCCTGGACCTAGGAGAGGATTGGTTACTGAAATGGAAACAACGGGAGTCTATGGATAAAGTTAACATTCATCTTGGAAAGTCTGCTTAGATAGGAAAAGCTGAGCATAATCAGACCATATTTTCAACACTCTACAGGGAAGCTACTCAAGTAGGCTGAAAAAATCTCAAAAAGAAATTCTAACTATGTAATGAAAATGGTCACAGTAAGAAAGGAGTTATGTCCAAAGAAACCGAAAAACTGTCTAGACACCACTCTGCTTAACTCAGACTTAACAGGATAAATATAAAAGGCAGAAGAAGAGCCACATAACAAAGGACAAGCAGAGAACAATGACATAATTTGGTTAGATAAATCAGGAGACTAAAACCCAGAATGAGCTGAGGCGTGCAAAAAATGTCAAGGACAACAAAAAGGGGCTTTTAAAATTGTATTCAGGGAAAGAAAGCCTCCTAACCAGGATGGACAATTTTATGTTAATAGATGACAGAGTACAAAGCAGACTGCTCAACTATTTTATTTGTCAAAGAGAATGATTATCAGACTGAAAAAGAACAAATATTGATTTGAGAGAACTGAAAAAAACAGAGGTGGGGAAATTGTAAGACACTGCTTAGCATTCCAAATGGACTTAGGGCTCGCGGCCAGCGAATGAAATCCCATGACCGGAAGAGCTACCAGATGAAGCGTGCGCACGGCTCTGGATATTTAGAAATACTGAAGTGGAAAATGGGGGTGAGACGAGAAACTGCTGGAGTCAAACATGACCCTAATTTTCAAATATGGTTACAACCATAGCCTGGGTCAGCTGAGTGCTGAGGAGGTAAGATTTTATTTCCTAAACAACCACAGTACTATTTCCAGTCCCACATGACCTTCCAGAGTCTTGTCACTCCTTATCAGGCACGTAAGTATTGAGCCCCTTGAACCTGGGCAGAACTTCATGATTGATGGCCTCAAGAAAGAGAATGTAGCAGAACTGATATGGCATGACTTCCAAACCACACTCTCTCAGGCTGTGAGGAAGCCCAAATAAGCCCATGCAGAGAGCTCAGGTTGTAAGGCTCAGGCGGGGAGAAAAGGACGGTGCCCCTTAACAACCGGAATCAACCCAAGTCGTGTGAGTAAATGGATCTTCAGGTTAATTCAGCCCCAGCTTTTGTGTTTTATAGCTGAGGCCTAGACATCACAGAGCAAAGGCAAATCATTCCCACTATTTATTTCCTTCCTTCCTTCCTGCCTTCCTTCCTTTCCTTCCTTCCTCCCTCCCTTCATTTTATTCCCACTATTTCCTGTTCAAACATTAGGTTAAGAGTCTAGTATAGAAAATCAAGACTGAGCCACCCAGGCGCCCCTAATTTTATTTCCTTTTTGACTGTTACTGGAATGTTAATCAAGGAAAGCTAGAGACATAGGATATATGAATTTCACAAGTTATTTAACAACCATGTTGCAAGTAATACCATCGACAAAGTAAAGAGCATTTCTCCGGGTGCCTGGGTGGCTCAGTTGGTTAAGCGACTGCCTTCGGCTCAGGTCATGATCCTGGAGTCCCGGGATCGAGTCCCACATCGGGCTTCCTGCTCAGCAGGGAGTCTGCTTCTCCCTCTGACCCTCTTCCCTCTCGTGCTTTCTATCTCTCATTCTCTCTCTCTCTGAAATAAATAAATAAAATCTTTAAAAAAGAAAAAAAAAAGAGCATTTCTCCAAGGAAGATATACAAGTGGCCAATTAGTACATGAAAAGATGCTCAACATCACTAATCATTAGGGAGAGGCAAATCAAAATTAGAACGCGATACCTCTTCACACCCTTAGGATGGCTGTTATTAAAAACAAACAAAAATAACAAACGATGGGGCACCTGGGTAGCTCAGTTGGTTAAGTGACTGCCTTCAGCTCAGGTCATGATCCCAGGGTCCTGGGATTGAGCCCCGCATTGGGCTCCCTGCCTGCCGCTACCCCCTGCTTGTGTTCTCTCTCGCTCTACCAAATAAATAAAACCTAAAAAAAAAACAAAAACAAAAACCCAACAAATGACAAGTGTTGAGGAGGTAGAGAAATTGGAACCCTTGTACACTGTTGGTGGGAACATAAAACAGTGCAGCTCCTGTGGAAAACAGTATGGCGGGTTCCTCAAAAAATTAAATAAAGAATTACCATATGATCCAGCAGTTCGGTTCCACTTCTGGATATATACCCAAAAGAACTGAAAGAGGTACTTGTACACCAATGCTCACTGCAGCATTATTCACAAGAGCCAAAAGATGGAAGCAACACAAATGTCCATGGGTGGATGAATAGAAAAATAAGCAAAATGTAACGTACACATACAACAGAGGATTTATTCAGCCTTAGAAAGGAATGAAATTCTGACACAGTCTACAATATGGATGAACCTTGAAGACATTGTGCCAAGTGAAATAAGCCAGGCACAAAAGGACAAGCATTGTATGATTCCATTTCATGAGGTACCCAGAGTAGTCAAATTTATAGAGAGAGAAAATCAAATGGTTAGGGGCTGGTGCCAGGGGCAGAGGAGAATGGGAATTATTGTTTAATGAAGGATTCTGGAGATGGATAGTGGTGAGATGGTTTGTACAAGGTGAATGTGTTTAATGCCACTGAATTGTGCACTTAAAAATGGTTAAAATGGCAAGTCTTATATTACACGTTTCACAATAAAAAATGTTAAAAAAAGTAAAAAGACAACCCAATTAAAAAATGAGCATTGGATTTGAATATTCCTTTCTCCAAAGAGAATATGTAAATGGACAATAAGCACATGAAAAGACATTCAAAATCAATAAACAGATGTCAGAGAACCAGTGTGCTTACATTTATTTTATATGATTCAAGTTAAAATTAGAGCTATTGGCTAGAAGATATAAGTTGCAACAACTTCAATAAAAGAAGGGTCTTTCTGATGATAAGAGAAGTTCCCAAACTGGAAAAGTGGGGTAGTGAGTTCCTTGTATACTAGAAGTATACAAGCATGGGCAGACAACCATAAGAAAATACTGCAGAAGATATTTACTCATTAGGTACAACCGTGACTTTTAACTTCCTGTGTGTGTGTGTGTGTGTGTGTGTGTGTGTGTGTGTGTGTGAACAGCACCTTTCTTGAAATGCAAAATGCAATATATAAAACAGATCAAAGTGAAGCTGCTTTGGTTACCCAGGGCTGGGGGCCTATAGTTTCATCTGCGTGTCGGCCAGCCCCCATACAACCATCCACAGAAGCTTAGTGGACTATCCAAAGCCCCAGTGAAAAAAGTTTTCTAACATCCTTTTCAGTGACTCTTGTTTTCCTGATAACTTAAACCCTGCACACACTTTTGCTTTGATAAACTGACCCAATTTATTAAGAGATAAAGAATATCTCGGGGCACCTGGGTGGCTCAGTCATTAAGCGTCTGCCCTCAGCTCAGGTCATGATCCCAGGGTCCTGGGATCGAGCCCCATATCGGGCTCCCTGCTCGTCGGGAAGCCTGCTTCTCCCTCTCTCACTCCCCCTGCTTTAGTTCCTTCTCTCGCTGTGTCTCTGTCAAATAAATAAATAAAATCTTTAAATAAATAAATAAATAAAAAGAGTATCTCATATGGTGCTAACTTAACCTTATTTTCATGCCTCCTCCAAACAACTCTAGAAGTTAGTAACAGAAAATATGATTCCATAAAACATAAATCAGCCATCTTTCCTGGACATATCACCTTGGAAACAGCCCTGTGTTCCCTGATGCTTTTTTTTTCCCCCCGACAAGTGTGTCTAGAGTTTCATAACTCTTATGAGCCAACTAGGTAGTGAAAGACTCAAGCCCACTGCTTACTACCATTCGTTATGTGACCCAAGAAAAAAGGCAAGGGATAATTATTATTATTTTTAAAGATTTTATTTATTTATTTGAGAGGGAGATAGCTAGAAAGAGAGCATAGGGGGGAGGGGCAGATGGAGAAGCAGGCTCCCCACTGAGCAGGGAGCCCAACATGGGGTTCGATCCCAGGACCCTGGGATCATGACCTGAGCTGAAGGCAGCCACCCAGGAACCCCCAGGCCAGGGATTTAAATATAGACTCAGAATAATATAATAATATAATAATAAGTTCTTCACCATTATAATCTCCCCAAATCTTTTCTCTCTTAAAAAAAGTTCTATCATGGGGCGCCTGGGTGGCTCAGTCGTTAAGCGTCTGCCTTCGGCTCAGGCCATGATCCCAGGGGTCCTGGGATCGAGCCCCGCATCAGGCTTTCTGCTCTGCGGGAAGCCTGCTTCTCCCTCTCCCACTCCCCCTGCTTGTGTTCCCTCTCTCGCTGTGTCTCTCTCTGTCAAATAAATAAATAAAATCTTTAAAAAAAAAAAAAAGTTTTATCATAAAGTTGCAAGGATTAAGATCACTTATTAGTCTCCTTCTGTTTTAGTAGAATGTCCAATTTCTGCAATCAGAATTATTTCTGGAATCTGGCTTGGAAAAAATCTGAAGGGTTGTGGTATTTGTGGAGGTGGTTAAAAAATGGCCAGCCTCCCTGGCAAGAACCCAAGTAAAGAGGGTAGTGGAGCTCAAGGAGCAGCTCGAGAGGGGCTTTTCTTTGCCAACACCAGCACAGCCACTATCAATGTTACTTCTAAGAACACCAGGTAAGCAGCTACAGATGCATCTATGCACACATGTATACCCATATATACATGTGCCTGTGTTTGCAGACATACACAACCCAGCTCTCTCTACTGAAAAGGCCTAGAAGCCATGACATCCTGGTAGCAATGAGCACATCTAGCACCCAGATCTTGATTGCACAGGAGCCTTCTTGAAGAACTCCCACTGGCTGAGTGTGGGACAATTTGGACATCAAAATAAAGGAGAGTAACACTGTAACCTTCTGGGAAAAATAGGAACTGTGAAATAATAAAAAATATGTATATACATTGTCTCTGTTCCTGGTTCCTGACACCTGAGCTCCTAAAACCCTTATAATCTCCCAAGTGATAGGAGTGTTAGGTGTATTTTTTTTCTAATATTTGGTCTTTGACCCTGATTCCTGACACACAGTTCCTAAATCCCTTGGAATTTCCTGGGTGTAAGAGTGTCCTTTGTTCTAATGAGGTGACTCTGGATGGGGGCTGGTTATCAGAAAGACTGAGCCATGATTAGAAACTTGGAGCTTTCAGGTCCACCCCCCCTTTTTCCAGGGAGGGAAGAGGGGCTAGAGATTGAGTTAATAATTGATCATGCCTACCGAGGAAGCCTCCATAAAAATCCCAAAAGTGAAGGATTCAGAGTTTCCAGGTCGGTAAGTATGTCCACATGTCAAGAGGGTGGCGTATCCCAACTCCATGGGGACAGAAGCTGCTGTGCTGGGAATATTCCTGATACAGAGGTACCTAAAAGGGTACCTGGTTGTTGATCTGTATCAGCTTTAATATCCCTTATAATGAACTAGTAAAGGTCAGTAAATGTTTCCAAGTTCTGTGAGGAATTCTAGCAAATTATTGAACCTGAGGAGGGGGTAGAGAGAACCCTTGATTTATAGCTGGTCAGCCAAAAGCCCAGGACTTACAAACTGGCATCTGGAGTGGGGGGCAGTCTTGTGGGACTGAGCCCCTAACGGGTGGGGCCTGCACTAGGTCCAGATAGTGCCATAAATGAATTACTGCACACCCAATCGGTGTCCACAGGTTGGAACACTGGCTGGTGTGGGAAAAACCTCTACACTTGATGTTAGAAGTACTGAAAGCAGAGAGGAAACAGTGCTGTTTTTCCTTTAGCTGGTGTCATAAGAGTAGAGGAGAAATGAGTTTTTCCTTTCAGGAATCCTTGAGTCTGTACTGATAAAGAAAGCAAGCTTTAGCCTATTTATTAATTAATTTATAAATAAATCTAGAGAGTATGATGGAATTAGAAAAAATATAATCTGGCAACCATCATAGTAATAACTGACTCCTAGTAATAACTAATAAAAGCTGATGGTAAGTATCATCAACAGATGGGGGGCAGAAGTCTCACCACAAAATAATTAACAATTAATAAACACAGTATCTTTATTCATTAACTTTATTGATGAAGAAACCTAAGCAGGCACATCTTAACTAATGGTAAGAGTCAACATCGCCAGTAATGGGGTATAAATCATTATCATGTGCAGCTGCCCCCCCCCATGCACAGAAAAGAGCACAGCATCACCTCAGAGGTATTCCTGCCAAAAGTGAATAAATCACAAGAAAACGTCAGGCAAACCCAAACAGGAACATTCTAAAAACGTTAAGGTCATGAAAGATAAGGAAAGACTGAAAAACTCTTCCACACTAAAGGAAATCAAAGAGTTAAAGAGATAACTAAATGCAATACATGATCCTGGCTTGGATCCTGGACCTACAAAGGACATTATTAGGACAAGTGACAACATTTGAATGGGATCTGAGGATTAGATGGTGACACTGGGTCAAAGTTAATTTTCTGATTGTAATGGTTGTACTACAGAGTGTCCTTGAATTTTTTTTTTAAGGGGGGGGTGGGAGGGGCAGAGGGAGAGGGAGAGGGTGAGAGAGAATCCCAAGCAGCCTCCATGCTCAGCACAGAGCCCGATGTGACGACCCTGACTGACAATCTGACTGAGATCAGGACCTGAGCCAAAATCAGGAGTCTGGCGTTTAACCAACTGAGCAACCGAGGTGCCCCTAGAGTGTCCCTGAATTTAAGAAACACACACCCAAGTATTAAGGGTTTGTGGTAGTCAGAGTAACGACCTCCCTGAAGATGTCCATATTCTACTCCTTGGAACCTATGAGTATTTTACCTGAAATGGCAAAGGGGAATTTAAAGTTGCAGATGAAATTAAGTTTACTAATAAGCTCACCTTAGGCTAAGGAGACTATCCTGGATTATCCAGATGGTGCCAACATAATCACAAAGGTCCTTACAAGTGGGAGAGGCTGACAGGAGGGAATGGAGAAGAAATGTGACAATGGAAGCAGGGTCGAAGTGGTGGGAAGGAGAAGAACGCACCCATCATTGCTGGTTTTGAAGATGGAGGAAGGAGGCCACAAGCCAAGGAACTCAAGAGTAGCCTCTAGAAGCTAGAAGAGGGTAGGAAACAGATTCTTCCCTTGAACCTCCTGAAAGGAATGCAGCCCTACCAACACCTTAATTTTAACCCAGTGAGACCTGTGTCAGACTTCTGACCTATGGAACTGTAAGATAGTAAGTGTGTTGTTTTAAGCCACAAAGTTTGTGCTAACTTGTTACAGCAGCATTATAGGACTGACGGAACATCATCTCTGCACTTGATCTTAAATCATTTGGATATGTTAACAAATTGGGAATGTGCATAAAGCTATACAGGAATTCAATGTATTGTTTCCATAACATTTATGTGAATTTGAAACTGTTTCAAAATAATGTTTTTCAGTTAATGGGACTTACATTTTGACCCACCAGAATTTTCCAAATGGTAGTTCTACCGGATAAATTACCCTCTAAGGACGGAAGACAGAAAACAGTCTTCTTATATAAAAGGCCTGAGGGAAATAATCAGAGACGCAATGGCCCAACCTCCAGAACCTTCACCCATTACTTCTAGACTCCCCAGTTCCAGAGACCTTACCTGTAGATAGTGATATGAGGAGACAGAGGACGGTTTAAATCAGTGTTCTTATTCCAGAACCTCTCCATCTCTTCCTTGGCTGTGGTTCCCAAAGGAACAGCACTAAAATAAAACGAGAAGGCTTTAAAATGATTAAAAGTAAACTTGGCTTGAGTTTTTACATAACAAAAAGTTAAATAAAAAAGCTAAGCTCCAAGCTGGGCTGGATGAGCCCACTGCAGAAGGAAAACATGTTCGTCCACTCCCCTTGTCCCTATACCAAGTCTGACTCAGTTATTAATAACCTCAATCACCCAGTGAGGTCATATCAGAGGAGAGAACTCTTCTTTCTAATCCCCACACAGGTCCTGCAACAGAAGCTCAACTTCTTTCATGTTGCACAGCAGAACAAGGACAATATTTCAAAACCATTTACATAAATGGATCACCCTTTCCCCAGGTCACGGGTGCTGTCTCATACATCACCACCTGCTCTCATTTGTTTTGTCAAGACTCCCTTTCAGGTTCTCAAAAATCAAGAACTGGATCAGCTCAGTACCTCTGAACAGTTTCTTGGTTTCCCTTGTCACTGGGTTGGGTTGAAGCCAAGTGTTGAACAGCTGTGTTCAACAATTTATTATGTACCCATATTAAACATGACTCCATCCTCCTCAAGAAAATATAACCTACCCATAGATTACTTACTAATTACAGAAAGAAAAAAACAGTCATTTCATAGTGGAAAAATACCTAGCAGACATTCCCTTATTCAAATGATCACATGCCCCCTGATGTGAATGTAACAGAGAATATACATCACTTAAGTATTACTCCTGACAAAAATGGGTAACCTGACTCTAATTATAGGAAATGGTCAGACAAACCCAACTTCACAGACACTCTACAAAATAACTAGCCTGTATTTTTCAAAAATGTCAGTGTCATAAAAGACAAAGGAAGGCTAAGAAGCAGTTCCAGATTAAAGGATACTAAAGAATTATGACAAATAAATACAATGTGTGAGCCTAATTAGCTCCTGGATGGGGAACAGGAAGACTGTATTTCTATAAAGTACATTATATTGGACAAAAAGAAAATCTGAAAACTAACTGTATGCTGAATAAGAGTACATCAATGTTAAATTTCCTGAATTCGATAATTGTGTTTGTATAATTACACTGTTATATAAGATAATGTTCTTGTTCTTAGAAGAAATATTTAGAAGTAAAGCATCATGGTGTCTGCAATTTCATCTCAAAGAATTCAGAGAAAATACTAACAGTAATTAAATATACATCAGCCTTGACCACACTAAATTGTCAATATTAGACCAGGTTTGACCAACAAACGTAACAATTTCATAAGACACAACCTAAAATACATAAAACTCTAAGCAAACATAGCAAAATGTTAAAAACCGATGAATCTAGGTGAAATGTATATAGAACTCCATTGTACTATTCTTCCAACTTTTCTGAAAGTATAAAATATTTCTCAAGTTTAAAGTTTAATATTCTCATCCATCCTTCTATTACCAGATGAGAAAAAGTGACCACAATCATTAAATTTTCAGCCAACCATCTGCAACTTCCTTCTTTCATACGTACCCCCAAAATCCAAACCAACAACCCACTGCTGTTCCCTGAGGGAAGAAAAGTTAAGTCATAATAACCTCCACAAATTTAGAAACTTACTTTCTGATAGAGAGCCGAGGACTAAGGTGGGCACGGAGGCAATGACGGCCAACATGTCTGCAAGAGAATAAAGAGTCAATGGGGGGGCGCCTGGCTGGCTCAGTGGGTGGAGCCTGCGACCCTGAATCTCGGGGTTGTATCCCCCAAAACCCATGTTGGGTGTAGAGATTACTTAAAAATAAAATCTTTAAAAAAGAGAGAGAGAATGAAGAGTCAACACACACTTAGAGATCAACCTCAGTTTATCAACTTCTCTATTTCTGTAGCATGTTAGATTTAGGAGTGGAGGGAAAAATTAGTAAGATGAAAACAAGGACTGTATCAATGTCCTTGAGATTACTTTTTAATTGGAAAGCTACAACTTTAAATAACTGGAGAATAATCACATATATAACCTACAAATCAAAATAAAGTTTTAGCTGAACACGAATAATACAAGATAAAAGAATAGTCCACTGATAATGTTCAACAAAGAATGTCATTTTTTCTAAAGTTAGGTGATGGTTAAAGGACAGGGGTAGGGGTGCCTGGGTGGCTCAGTCGTTAAGCGTCTGCCTTCGGCTCAGGTCATGATCCTGGGATCGAGCCCCACATCGGGCTGCCTGCTTGGCGGGAAGCCTGCTTCTCCCTCTCCCTCTCCCCCTGCTTGTGTTCCCTCTTTGGCTGTCTCTCTAATAAATAAATAAAATCTTTAATAAATAAATAAATAAATAAATAAATAAATAAAAGACAGGGGTAAATAAGAACAAGAATAAGAATACACCTTAGTTAAGTGCTGCAAATGGATAAATTAAGAAGAATAAGGAGTTTGTGGAAAGAGGGTTCTAAATATTAAGCTATCATTTTAGGAACTACCATCAAGTTCCAGACAAGCTGGATGAACTTCAAGTGAAAATGTCTCTAATCACGCAAAAAGCATGGGAACGCAAAGATTTCCCTGACCAGTGAAGAGCTATGTGAGGACACACGTTTTCTACCAAAAAATTGCTATTTTTGAAAGATATACATCAGTACTAAAACTGCTTTTCTGCTTTTCAAGTCTAAAACTAAGATGTGCCCAGACATTCTATGTAAAGTGAATTTAACTGATCCAGAGTTCACACAGCATTATGAAAAAACGACCACTACACCCCTTTATTCACATTACTATATAAAATCTTTCCAAAAGTATTTAAGAAAGTTACGCGAGTGGGATTAAAATTAAAAATACATCGATTCTACAAAAGTTTACGTATATCTATTATATGTAAGACACTGTGGGGATATAAAATCTCCTTGAGGTCCAATGATCGTCTAAAAAAAAGCTCATGGTGTCCCTCACACCACTGATACTAGATGCATAAACAGTTCAAAATCCCTATGCTTTACACTAGGACAGTAGAAGCATCCACTATTTGAAGGCAAAATAATCCAATCAACACTTCCTTCAGCTCTGCCTTCTTTCCAGCTTTGGAAGCAGGAGGTGAATACTGACATTGTGTACCCAAGACTCCCAGAAAGGAGAAGTGGGAACAAATGTCTTCAATCAATTGAAGCAATTGTGGCTCTGGAGTTGCAGGGCATGCATTCCTCACACCAGGCTAGGTCCAGTCACCCAGCTACCCGGCAAGAGTTTGCAGATGTGGGTTGGAATCTACAGCACTCTCTGTCTAGTTCTATTGTTTCCCAGACAAATACCAATGTAAGCTTTCCACAAGGCCCTAACAGAAACTAGCTGCACCAACTCCATAGCCTTATTTGAAACATGACAATAGTAGGTAACCATCCTTGCCTTTCATGTGAAACCAGGAACTCTGAAAAGTTCTACCAAGGACTTGGGCTTTATATGTTATAGCTAAAAGGTAATAGTACCTTATTTTTAAATAACAAGCCGGAATGTATCATTCTCATTAGTATTGTTCCCTTCTAAATACGATATACATGTCTACCCAAAAATGTAATCACTGCTCAAATCATTTCTGAAACTCTTCCCTGGATTGGGGCAACAACAGTGATGCAGAAAGAACATTAAAATAAAAAAGTCAGGGCACCTGGGTGGCTCAGTTAGTTAAGCGACTGCCTTCGGCTCAGGTCATGATCCTGGAGTCCCGGGATCAAGTCCCGCATCGGGCTCCCTGCTCGGCAGGGAGTCTGCTTCTCCCTCTGACCCTCCCCCCTCTCATGCTCTATCTCGTTCTCTCTCTCTCAAATAAATAAATAAAATCTTAAAAAAAATAAAAAATAAAATAAAATAAAAAAGTCAGACTGGAGTTCTAGTTCTGCATAAGTTGTGTAACTTTACAGAATCACTGAGCTGCAGCTTTTTCATTTATGAAATGGGATTGATAAGACCTACCTGACTGGTCGCTGGGAGGATTACATAAGAATATGTACAGAAAGGCATTCTCACTATCTCAGCAGTATCACCCATATACATAAGATATTACTAATATTTCATTGGTCTCCCCAAGGTCTTTAGAATTCACATCATATTCTTCTTAAAACCCTCAGTGGTGATAAAAATATTCATCTGCTCAAAATGGATTTGACTTTTGGAAAAAAAAGAAGTTATTCAAAGCCAAGTCTATGTGATCAAACTAAATAAAACCATTTTTGGTCCAAAACAAGATGTGACTACAATATAATGAGTTTCTCTTATATGACCTCTAAACCTGATCTGATGGTATGCCAAAAAAGTTTTAGAAATAACTAGGGGTAAGAGCAACACTAAAATAGATGTGTAACTTTGAAGGACAGGATGACGAGCAATACAAAAGTTCTCATTAATGGCTATTAGCACCCAACCTACTCCCAAGCTACAACAGAAGACACCCCTGATTTCTTCTTGTCTCTCACCCCCCATATATATGCGAGGCATCACCCAATCCTATCAGTACTATCCAGGAAACTTCAGTCCATTGTTTTAGTCCTTATCCTTTTCATTTCTCACAAAGAGGACTATAAGAGAAGCTCCTCAACTGATCTCCCTACCAACTCTCTCTTCCCTATCATTCAATATTACCAAAGCTAACTTACTGAAAAATAAAGCTGATTTCATTGCTCTTCTACCCCAAAGTCTTTCAACAGTTCCCTGTTGCTTGCAGAATAAGGTCCATATGATAGCCAAACAAGGCCTTTCTCAACACAGCCCAAACCAACTCTCTGGACCCATTATCCCACAAATTCCCTTCAGCCCCTTATCTGTCTACCACACCAAATATTATACTACATACACCCAGAGGATGCCATCTTAGGACCACATGCCTTTGCTTGTGCTGTAGGGTGGAACCTCCCTCACCCTCTGATAAACTCATCCTTCAAAACCCAACAACTCCTAGACGGCGACTTCACCGTTTCTTCAGCCTTACTTGCACCTGCCTTGCTTCTACACCACTTCTTCAGAGGTCTATATCAACACATATCATGTTGCTTAATAATTATTTACTTATCTCCTATGCTAGCCTGAGCTCTTCGAGGATAGGACTGGAATGCTTTGTGTCTAGAACACCTCTAATAATGTCTGACACATAGAAGAGGCTCAAAAAATGGTTTGTAAATGAATATGCTTATTTTAAAAAGCTGTCTTATATATTTAAAGTTAGACCTTATTTTTAGAGGTGTTTCACATGTAGCATTTTATATGATGAGCGACGTGCAGATAGTTAATGACTTTTGGTGACTTTGTGCTTAAGCAGCATGAACTTTATTAGACAGAAGCCTAGCTGTTCTTAGCTTAGTTCTCTATCTCTGTCTTGGCTTTGGCAAGTCATTCCTTGAGTGAGTGCCAACGGAGCTCGCATTACTCAGCAGGTTATTCCTGGCTAGTCTGTGAACTGTTCAGAGAGTATACAAAATATAGAGCACTGTTCAAAAGCCATGACATACAGTACTCTGAGAACTAATAATTTTTAGTTAGCCAAGCATTAAAAATGTTTAACCAATACTTCTTTTAAGTGGGCCCAAGTTATTGCTATTTTCATTCACAAATGAGGAAACCACAATTATGGAATCAGTGACCTTGACTTGTCCAAAATAAATGGAATTCGTGACAATGACAGAACTAGAAACCAGCTCCCAGAATTGCCCAGAAGGTATTTTCCTTTGAGGCTAAATCAGCACATTATGAACAGTTCCAAATCCCTGTAGTGAAATGGAATTTGACTCAGAACTTCAATCAGAAAAAAAAGTTGGGGGTTGGGCATCCAACTCCCGTCCAACTGATTTCAGCTCAGGTCATGATCAAGACTGAGCCCTGGGACTTCGACCAGCTCTGTGCTCAGCAGGGAGTCTGCTTGAGATTCTCTCCCCTCCTGCGCACATGCTCGCTCTCTCTCTAAAATAAATAAATAAATCTTAAAAAAAAAGAAAAGAAAAAAGTTTAATTCCCTATGTCCCCTCTTAAGAAAGCCCTTGTGAGAAAAGGAGAGGTGCCCTTCCCATAAGCTTCAGATTACTACTAATGAAAAAGAAATCTATTTCTTGGCACTGAATCCTAGTGCTGTCCATCCTACACATCTCAAAATGATACTATCTGGACATACTTAATGAGGTACGATAAGTGTTAGCTTCTAAACAATAATCCTGAAACTCCTAAAATGAACTGTTTAGAACCAATATGATCATTTCAAGCTAAATGTTAATTCTACCAAAAGTCCCTGACATCTACGAAAATATGATGTATCAAAGAATTCAAAATCATTCAATTATGGTGAAACTACCTGGAATAAAAAATGCAGTTCTGGCAAGACTGGCCCTGGCACACCTTAGGAAAAAAAGGAAAGGAGGGACAGGGAGAAAAATGATCGATTAAGATAACCCATTCCTGATCTCAACTCCAAGAGGAATAGTTTTGTCACAGAGAAAAACTAAAGTCCCTCTATTTTTACACTGGGTGACCGAAATGGAAAGAGAAATGAGAAGACATTTGGGGAAATCAGGAATTAAATCTCAACAACATTAAAACTAACTTTCCATAACAAATATTTTCCAAAAATAGGCCTGGCACGAAACTATGCCGGCATTTGTACCAGGAGTGTCTAAAGTCACTTAAGTCGCTGTGTCTACAAAGGCTCTGAATAGAGAATGGAGCCTAGAAAGAGGACAGCTCAGAATGGAAGAAAATCTAGGGTACTTCTCCGGACAGTGAATGACCTCTTATAGGAAAACTGAGACATCCACTCCCCCTTCCTTCTCTCCCCAAATAAAAAGAGAAACTAAAATTGAATTCCCTGGGCTGCTGTGAGGCAGTAGAGCGACCGCTATGGGCGCTACTGCTAATCGCCAGCGCGATAGGGATCCAAGGCCTCCTGTCCCCTCCGCCGGGGGCCCGTTAGGAACTCAGACAGTGCACCCTCACTGCCAGCAACTAGCGTTTGCAGAAGTTATAAGCAAAGACAAAGCACACGAAGATCCCTCTCCCCGAGACCCAATTCCTGAATAAGACCTCGAAGTCCTAGCGGATGATCCGCTCACGCCGAAATCGTTAACTTTACTCTCTCGGAGCTTGGTTCTGGGTGCGGCTCCGAGAGCCATCTGGGGGGAAAGTACTGGAGGTGGGGTCAAGTGTAAAGGGCGACAGCCGCGCGACCCGTCGGTAGGGAGTAGGGACGAGATAACGGGCCAGTAACCCCGAGTACGGGAGCGGCTGGGGAAAGAGAAGGGGCCCTAGGATTCCACAGCGCGCGGCACGCACACCCGTGGGCCCTTTCCCTGCCCAGGCACGGGACAAACAGCCGTCAGCAAGACATAAGGGGCAGTGCAGGCCTCCCGAGGGCCGCGGACACCGACTCCCAGCCCCAGGCTAAAGTCACCTCAACAAGAGCGCAGCCATCTTGAGTTCCGGTCTGGACGGAAGTGACGCCCAACGTCCCCGCCGCCTTAGGGCGGGGTCTCTATCACGTGACAACACCAGCTCTTTATAAAGGGATGGGGCGTGGCTGTGTTGCAGCTTTGTTCAGACTCTTGGTTTTACTGATTCTTTCCCCTTTGCTCGGTCTCCTTCGGCTGGCTTCCACCAGAATTTGCCAGGGGTTCGGCATTAATGGCGCTGACTCAGACTCTACAGTATGCATTTTATCTGCGAACATAATTCGTTTCGCACTACTGAACGTCTGACTTGCCCTGATTCTTCACCAGGGACTCCTCAGTCTGGTTTCGCTCCATCTCCTTCTCAGGTAGGCAGGCCAAGGCACCCAGGGAAACGGGCTCCATCCGGTTCTAGTGGGAAGCTTCGCCAATGCAGAGATGCACAAGTTGAGACCCAAGTTGAGGAAGGAGCGTGAGAACCATGCAGATCACCATCCCAAGACCAGGGAGCCCCCTCTAACCACCTGGATTAGCTTTGTGCCCTACAGTTCCTGGGCTTGAGCTGCCGCCTGAGTTGGACGCCCACTAGTCAAACACAACGCTCTTTTGTTCCTTGTTTCAAGGCTATGTGGGTGACACCCACAGCTACAAGAACCCGGGGTGGGGGAAAGCTCGCTTTGATTTTTAAACACACACACGCGTGTGTGTACATATATATAGTTTTGAGGAACCCAAGCACAGCAATCAATTGCAGAGCACTTGTGACTTAAGGAAGAAAAAGGGAATGAGAAAGGAATAGAAAAGTGAAAAAGTTCTTGAGTCTCTTTTTTTGGGGGGGGTAGGAGTGAAGGAGACAGCCTAGAGCAACTCCTACAATAAAACATTCAGCTGCATTAATATGCAGATCTCATTTATATTTAGCACTCCTGCACTTCTTTCAGGATTTAAATAGCACAGATTCACTTATTTCTTCATCAAATGAAAATACTATTTTGCATTTCTATAATACTTGACAATGAAAGCACTTTTATAGACTTTTGGACTGGAAGAGACCTGAGAGGCTCTCAGACCTGATTTCCTATCCAGTGCAGGGATCTCATCGGCAACACTTAGGGCCACTGGTCTTCAAGGCTCTGCTCTAACACATTCAGTAATAGTTACCTCAAAACTCGTTTCATTTAGTGAACAGCTTAATCATTAGAAAGTTGTTATGTTAAAATATAGTTTTCTGGGGGTACCTGGCTGGCTCAGTCAGCGCAGCATGCGACTCTGGATCTTAGTGTTGTGAGTTCAAGGCCCACGTTGGGTGTAGAGACAATTTACAAATAAAATCTTTAAAAGTAAGAAAATAAAACAGTTTTCTGCTATTGAACTTCCTGTCATTGATCCCACTTTCGCCCTCTGGCACTTCACATTAACAAATCCAATGAATGCCTCTTTCACTTAGCTCTTTAAATAATTTCATTTTATATATGTATATGTTATATATATATTATATATCTAAGTTATATATTTTATATATTTATATATTTTATTTTTATATATAATATTTAATTCTCATTCCCTTTTTCTTAAGTCACAAGTGTTTTGTATATATAAGTTATATATATATAACTTTAAAGTTATATATATAACAATATATAATATATATTATATATAGTTTTATATATAAATAGTTATATATATATATAACCTTTTGCCAGAGTATGTGAAAGTGCTATAGGGGATTCAAAGATACAAACATGTAATTGTCCTCAAGAAGCTTATAGCCTTAGCAGGATTAGTAAATACATAAATACAACAAAGAAAGTAGCAATCCCATGAAAGAAAGTGTATGTAAAAGGAGTGGGTAGATGAAAGTAGAAGGTGATTATTTGCAGCTGGGGAGGTGGGGTTAGGGAGGTGTAATTGACTACAACAACATGCTGTGAACGTTTACTGATGATTTTGCCCGTGGAGTTTATGATCAAGTCCCATCTTTAGAGTTCCACAGTCCAAACCCAATACCAATCACAGAACCCACCATCACCTATGTAAGGAGATGACAGGTAGGTACCAGGAGCCTGTGGTTTTACAGGTGAACCTGCAGTGGTCCCACTGCGGGAACAACAGTGGCCTCTCTCCTCAAAGTAACCTGTAGAGCCTGTAATTGATGGAAATTAATCATATTGAAATTCAAACAAGACATTAAGTCAAGCCCCTTATCACCAGGGTTTATCTTAAAAATAAGCAGGAGGGAAAAGCAGAGTCTAGCCAAGGCCTGAGGTCAGAGAAAGAAAGGGGAAGAAAGAAGGGAAAACATTTCAAATGGGAGTATGAGAGTTTCAGTGAAAAAAAAAATCACTTCAGATAATCCCAAGGAGGGAAACAAAGGAGGTAATAATCTGCAGTGCTTTGGTCTGAATGATTTTTTGGCCAGATTTGTCTTAAAACTCAGCTCTGACCATGTAGACATCCCTAACCCCACGCATTACTCCTTCAGGAAATTCTTATTGTTAGGAGTTAGTTGGACAGTTAGGTAGTCTGAGCCAGGGTCCCCAGCAAGAAAATATGGAGTCAGGACAGCTAAAATAAAACAGCACTAACACCCTGTTTTGCAGTTTAGACAGGACCACACTAACATTCTGCTTTGCAGCCTTTGCAGAAATGACTTCTGCAAAATGTCTGAAACTAAGGCAGTCAACCACAAAGCATTTGTCAATATCACAGGGCAAAGGGCAGTTAAGACATTAAACCCCCAGATGTCAGCAAAAAAAGACCATCAGCACAGAGACGTTAACCTAATAGGTAGACAGATACATGACTAAGGCCCTGATTGGCACAACTCAGCACACCGTGATTGCTTGAGATAGTTCTGCAAAAGAGCACATAAAAACCCCTAAACTTAGACACTCCCAGGGCAACCCTCTTGGGCCCCCCTCCCTCTTTGGGAGCTTTATACTACTGTTCAATAAATTTTGCTTTGCTGCCCACCACTCTTCATCTAGTCTACCTCTTCATTCTTTGAAGTGGCATGATGAAGAACCACAAGCACTAAGGGGACAAAAATCATGTAACATTATGATGTACCAATTAAACCCACCCTCTTTTCTCTGCCATTTAGTGCCCTTGACGAATTGGCTTCAACTCTCCTGTACAGACTTGTTTCAAGTTCCCCCAAATCAAGTCAAAGTGGAGGGCACAAGATCTGCCTTGAATATGCTCAATACTTCACAAACTTACCCAACACACACCACACACACACACACACACACACACACATATTTTCCTACCTCTTTGTTTTCTCTTTTCCTGTTCTGCCTAGATACCTTCACTACCCATTCCATATCTAATATTGCCTTCTATATACAACTCCCCCTTCCTCTGAACTTCATTTATTTTATTTCCTTATTTATTTAGGACTCCACACCCAGCATGGAGCCCAATACAGGGCTTGAACTCACAACCCTGAGATCAAGACCTGAGCTGAGATCAAGAGTCAAGACATTTAACCAACTGAGCCACCCAGGTGCCCCGGTTTACTTTTGTTTTTAATCTGTGTTACATAACAATCTCCCTGACGTTTGTGAAGTATTGGGCATATTGGAGCAGACCTGGTTGAGCCCACCTTGGTATTCTCAGCATTTTGTTCTTCTCTCTGCTATGGCAAGCATCATGGTTTATTATATTGGGTTATTGATGCGTTCGTCCTCTGATCCTCCCTTCTCTGCACCCCCCCAAATAGCTTTTAAACTCTTTCAAGGAGAAACTTAATTTTTATTCCTCCTTCTGTTACCCATGTACCCATACTTTACATATAGCTGGCACTCAATACAATTTTGTTGCCTTGTTCTAAATTGACATCGACTTAAACTGCATTGTGAGGCGTTGAAAAATTCTCTGATGAAGAGGGAAAGCTCAGGGGATTCTTCCCTGGATATTTTCCAATGGGGAAAAGCTCTATCAGGGAAGAATCACCCAGGATGCAGGGAAATGGGGAAAAAAAAAAAAAAGAAGGACTCCCAATGACCTGGTCATCTCAAGGAGCCTGTAATGCAATCCATAGTCATAAAACAAAACAAAACAAAAAAACAAGGGATATCCCATTTTCAGGGTCTCTGGGGGAGCCACTCTCTGGTAAGGAAGCTACAGAGGAATCCCTTCCCTGAGCCTTAGGATTTAGGTTCCCCTGCCCATCTGTCCCTCAGAGAAGTGTGTTTATGTCCCTTTTTCTGTCCCTCTCCCTCTCACCCCCCCCCCACCCCAGCATTCCAGCCCAGGGCAGGGGGAGGCCAGCAGACACAAAGCCCTCTGTGTATGGGGTGGTATGTGTCCCCCCCCACCCCTCCACCCAGAGGACACAATGCCCCTTCTGCTCCCTGTGCTCTGCCCCCCTCCCCACCACCTCTCAACTGCACATGCCAGGCTGCAATTGGTTATTGGTTCAGGACAGCCCCCTCATACTGGGGCCCCAGGGGATTTTAAGCGGATTCCAGGAACCCCCCGCTCAGTTACTTGTCCCCCACTCTCCCAACCCCGCAGATGCTCTGGGCCCTAGCCCTTGGCCCAGCTATGGCTTCCGGGGCTCCTTCGTCCAGCCCCAGTCCTATCCTGGCTGCACTGCTCTTCTCCTCTTTGGGTAAGTGGAGCCACCGCAGGCTGGGGGCCCTGGGGTTCAGGATGCCTCTCAGCAACCTTCTCACTGCCTTTGCTGCAGTTCCCACTGCAACCAAAGATTGAGCAGGAGCAGGAAGGTGATATTATACTCGGCGGGGGGGGGATATATATATATATGTAGTTTGGAGGGAGGCAATAAAGGTATTCTGTGAAGGGAGAAGGTAAAAGAGTGTAGAGAACTTCCCTGAGGTGGACCTGACTGGACCCAGATTGGAAAGTAGTAACATGGCCCCAGAGCCATGCTGAGGGCCTGGTGGGAAGCGGTGTTATCGCGTGGTAGGGAATAGGATCAGACACCTGGGTTCTGGTCCCTACTCATTCCCTAGTAGTGGGTGAGGTACTTAACCTTAGTTTCCCTCAATAGAAAAGTCAGGGAATGTGATCTAAG